TTGTGTTTGTATCGCGGGATGGTGGGGTCGGGACCTGAGCAAACTGATAAGCCTTATGAATGATCTCCCACTTTTCCTGCTTTAGTTTAGCTGCTGAGTATTTTCTGCTGTTTGGCTGCTTTTGTATTTTAAAAGTGCCAACTAAAGACCTTAATCCACAAATTTTTCCTCAACTAACTGATGGATCTCTGATTTATGCCTACCATCCCTTTCCTACTAGTCCCATGCCGGGGTTTTTAGATCGTGACACAGTCGCCCTTTTCAATCTGATAATATCAGGGGTCTGTACGCAATAGTTTTCTAATTGTTTGAGCCCTTTGGATCGTGCCTGACTGACTGTGGCTGACAACATTCGTCATTGTATTGGCCCTCACGTGGCAGCATAAACAACTGACGGGATCTGAGATCACGTAGTTTTCTGTTCTGTGTGCACATGTTCTTGCCCCTTACTCGTCAGATTATCGCATGATCTATAATTTCTGCTGTCTAGACGATGTCACCGGATTAGCATTGAAACCAGTTCGCGCTGAGGTTTGCATCGTTTGCATCGTGACTTATGACGACGACGACTTGTTTTAACATGATAATAATCCGATGCACTTTTATGCGAACCCGGTTAAGTTAGATTATTTTTCTTGCACACAGAGATAACAACACCGGGGACAGAAATTGTCGCTCTGATTAACGTTGGTGATAATGTACGCTTTTCATTGGTTGTAATGAGAGCTTTTTCCACTAACACTTCCATGGATTAACTTTCGACAGAACAATTTCTTCCCTGCCCTTTGCGTTGAGTTGTTCTTGTCTATCTCTGATCAGTTAGATCGAGTCGTTGGGATTTGTTTGAGTGAGACTGTTTCCCTGTACTCAAAGTTAACGTTTTCCCTCTATATGCGGGAATTTTTTTGCGTACTCTTTATTGTATCAACTCTGTTGAATCACAATGGGTTGCAAGTAGCCTTTCCCATATGTGCCACGTCGAATGCTCCTGACAACCGATAAACTGCAGATCAATCGTTAGTATTCTAATCGAGTAAACGGAACAGCATTGTTTCCGAGTGAATTGCATCAATCAGTGAACTTGGTAACTGAACTGAGAACTGGCATCCGTACTCAACCTCATGTTTCAATGAATTCGCTTAGTTTATTGTGCGCTTCGTTGAATGGGTTCCTAGAGTAAAGGATCTACGAAATTGATTGAAATAAACGACATGAGGGTCATGAGGCAAAATTTCCCAATAGCACCGAGCAATTCTGTGATTTACCAGCGGGTCTGGTCAACGTTGTAAGTCCATCGTCTCTCCTTTATGAATCGAACTGATGATCCGACTCTCGGGTGGAACGCACTTAGCGGTCGGCCGATGATCAGGGTTGCCCAGACGGCGGACTGTCGTAAGGAGTTTTCAAGTGTTTGAAATCGAGTGTAGAACTGGATAGAAGTGGTGCCATGTAACAAACCGACAACTTTTTCCCTTTGAGATTCGCTTCCAATTAATCTACTGCATTCTCTTGATTTTGTGTTTCTAGCCATGCCAGCGAGGACATTGTACATTGTCCCATGATAATGAGTGTAATGTTCATACGTGGTGATGCTTCATACGTGAATGAGCTGTGACCCACTGTTCAGTCGTTTCAACTGATTCATGTTGAATTCGCTGTATCGGTGCAGCAATATGCGAGTGTTTCGCACTTTGTTTTAAAGGAAAACATTTTTATTCCTTGTTATGGGGTAAACTCCACTATGACAAATATTACTGTATTTGGGGATGAAGGGAAGCTAATGCAAAAATGAGTTATTGATTCTGCCCTTGAATATAAAAGCGAGGCAATTCCAAGCAAGAATGTTCTACAATACTGTTGTTTGAATTTGAACACTACCCTTCCACAAGTTTGTAGAGTCATCCGGAGAGGGTAAATAGTCGCTTGCAACTGGGTTTCGCAAGCTACTTGAAGGAGAAAGACTGAATCGGCAAGCTCCGCAGGGCGAAATCTGTGGTAATAAAGATAGAAAAGGGGCGACATCACCGCGATGGACAAGTGGTTGAATGGTGGCTGTTAGGTTTGAACCAGGGGCAAAATAAATGGCTGAACAAACTTAAAAAGTGCCAAGATAGAAGAGGGGACGCTACACCTGATATGTACTATTTCTCAATTGGACGCATTTATGTTGTGTGAAGAGTTGCACGTTGAAAAGCGGTCAAAAATGTCTTTGCAAGGAAACAAGTAGGAGCATTTCCTCGCGATCCAAGCTCAACATTGCGAGGAGAGCAATATATGGGTGAGGTAAATCGGAGGCCAAGTAAACCGTACAAGATGTTGGATGAAGTGGATAAGAGTCGAAATGCGGCGAGGCATTGGAATTTCGTTTGCGCAATACAGATACCTAAAAGGTTTTTGTGATTCTATTCTCAGTGGCCGAGGTATGAGTTGAGTGAATCACACTCAGACGGTTGATCGTGAGTGATAGTGATAGGAAAACATCAGAAAGTGTTGTAGGAAAAAGAACAATGTTCAATGATATCATCGGAAAATGATGGAGAGGATTGAGAGTTTGGAAATAAAGAAAGACAAGAAAGAGGATTGTAGGCAGCACGGAACCTTGCAATTTTACGGAGTTGACTAGGATTGCTCCTAAAAGGACAGCATCAGCGCGAACAGAGACTAAAATATGGAACCCTGAGAACTTTCACCCGGAACCCATCGTGCCAAAGTTGATCGAACGCCTTTGAAATATCAAAGGATTCGCCATGGTTATCAGTGGCGAAAGATCAAATATGTAGCTTTACAGTGTTTGGGGGTGGGTACGTTGGGTGTCGCTGGTCATCGTTCCTATGCCCCTCGGCAAATGCTCCTATACAACCAGGAGTCTCAAATAACCTCTGCTGAGGAATTCCTACCCACTGCCTTACCGTGGCGGATATGTTTTCCCACCGATACGACAGAACAAAAAGGCAATATCCGGGGCTATAACCGGGTTGGTGAACCACTAGCAATTCATCTAAGGGAGTTAGCTAGAAACCCTAATTGTGAACCAGCCGAGAAGAGGCGCACGAACTAGGCTCACTCATACCTCCGTTTTGCTAGTAATCACTAACTTGATTAGGCATCGAGGTGTTTTAGGTATCTTGGACGTTTGACCTGGTCCAAAGGATGTATGATCTGACTAACTGGACACTGCCACAGAGTCTGGCCTAAAATATGTGCGAGAAATATGTTCTTTGTCTAATAGTAGGCAGCCACTTTATCTGGGGCAGCGTAAGTCTAATGCAGTTGCACCATCACCTGAGTTGTATCATAGGGCTTGAAATTTGTTGTAGTCTTCACACAGGACTACAACATATTCCAGGTGTTCCATAAGTGACGTATTGCTTTGGGCTTATATGTAAGACCGTATAGAATGTGGAAAATGAGTGTGCGTTGCAGTTCATTGGGAAGTATTCGGTTTTTCGGTTATATTATCGCACAGAAAAACACCGTTGATATCGTCATCTGTTTACTGAATTGGATAAGTATCACATATGCTTCGAAGTTCCTGATAAGCTTTCTACAAATTCAGTAAAGCGACCAAGGACGTTTTTTTGTAAGTTTTTTCTTATGTGTGCTTTACTGGACCGTGTATCCTGTGTTAATCATCCGTCTGTCTTGCACATTCAAGTATGCTTTTATGCGCTTTGAATTCCACGGAAATCATTGAATAATGCACAATCTGTTTTGCCATACGATATTCATTATGAGCGCCCTTCTGGTTGATCATTCCGTCCAGTTTCCAAATACACTAAATCTGCCTACTTCCTGGTATCGCCTTTTCTCGTAGTGCATCGTACGGAAGAGAAAAATGTCCTACTCACCCTGATGGAATTAGCGCGTATTGCTGGTCGTTTCGGCCTGGACGACCTGCCCGAATTGGTCCGAATGGAACGGGAAATTGATATGCTGGAAGCTAAACGCGCACAGACCTCGATAACCCTAAATATCAAAGCCAGTCCATCATCGGGAGATTCGCTTGATGCAGCTAATTGCGAATGTAACAAACACGTGAGCACAATGAAAGTTCACTTGCGCAAACGGTGTGTGGATACAGATTCGGGTTCGGATGGTGGCTCCAACAAGGTCTTAGCCAGTGGAGATACTGTGGTAAGCTGTTGTTTTGCATAGTTGATTTCAGTTATCGCTTCTATTGCCTCCTTAAAGGGTTGCGATTGTGAATAGCCCTTTAGGAAGTGATTGAATAATAATCGTTGATACAGGGCATACGGAGGCGAGAAGCAGTAGATAAGAAATGGTTTATTTGTAACAGTAGATTGTAGCCTGTTCACCCTTTCCCCTTATTAATACTGGCGAATCATGTTGATAGTGATTCATGTGTTGTTTTACCTTCTCTTTCTATCACTTCACAAGCAGTCATTTTTACTCAGACTATCCTACCTGATATGTGTGTGTGTTTGTAATCATTATCTTTTATCACCGCAGCAACACGCTTGTTGCTGGTGCCAAAGTTGATTCACTGTCTGATTTCACATAACTTTCAAATATCCTTGAATCAATTGTCAAAAAAGAATTAAGTCATGCAGTTCTCTCAAAGAGGAACTTTCTAGTATTACTAAGTAAGCAATACAACACAAGGCCTAAAGTTTTATCATTGTGTTTCTCGGCTACCGTGTTCAGTACGCTTCGAGAATTCACTCGCTAAAACACTTGAGTGTGTTTTGTTTGTGGAACCCTTGGATTAAAAACGGTTCCCGTGTGACGGGGGTTCTAGTAAATACACTATCTATTCGAGTATGGATGCAGTTGTCCGCACCACCAGCTCGTTCCCCGACAGATCCCTTTCAAGGGAAGTAATCCATGTGGTTATCCATGCTAGATAATAGATCTGATTTCGGCTTGTGGTTGCAATGAATTGTACAAGGAAACAAATTATTTGAACTTCTTGACAATGTACACATCCCTTTGGTGGCAGCTGGTAAAATGGTTATGGATAGTGGTTAACTGGTATTTTTACGTGGACGAGAAGGACCTCTGCAATAAGTGGTGGTTGCAATCTTTTCCGTTAATTTAGGAGTTCCGGTAGTTTTTGAATGTAGGTGAAATTCCCGGAGATTCCAACGAATCGGAAATCCACTTTCATTACCGCTGTCGGGATTGTTTCACCAACCAGGCTTTTTCACTTAAATTATGGTATTCCAGGAGGATGCTTATCTGGTGTTAAATATTTTTTTCATCACGGCTTTCTTTATTTCGCCACGAACTCCGATTCCTGCCGATCCCTCAACAAATAATGTTAGAAGAGCACGAAGCGTGTATCCACAGTCACGAAGCTCATCCTCTTCATCATCATCGTACAGCGAGATGCAGTGAAAGCGAACTTCGCTTATCACTGCCAAGCCCTCAATGTGCACAATGTAATTGAGAAAATATAATATAGATAGGGTTTGGGCCTAATTGGAGAGCGGAAAGGAGAGTGAACCTCCATTGTCAACACACCGAATGCACAACCTAACCGTTCACACATCTTTTCAAGCATTTTGATCTGGTAAGAAATGACAGCAAGAACGCCACTGCTGTCGGTCGATTGCCGTATTCTTTCGTGTCTCCAACCAACCAGTGGCCCGGTGGTAACGTCACCAAATTACCACCTCAGGGGACGTGTGTTCGAACCCCACCACCACCAACTGACTTTCCCCATGGCAGCCCTTTGATTGGCCACTTGCCCCTTCCTGAAAATTGTGTCATTGTGTATTCAATAAAAGGAAGTAAAATTTAATTAGAAGAAGAGAAAGAAGAAAAAAGTTACCGAGTCTTTTGGACCGTAACCTGGAAGACGGGAGACACCTATTCTACCCAATCGGTGTTTTCATTTCTTCAGGCTTCTTTCCCACGTCATCTGTTGACCTCCACGTGGTTTCTTCCAATCTGGCGCCGTAAATGCGAATAAGGCGCGGTGCAATAGACGACGACTGGGCATACGCAATGCGTGCCCTAGCCAACGAGGCCGACTCATCTGAATTCGATTTGATAACAGATTTTCCACCGAATCATTACCAAATAAGCGACGATTTACCTCGGAGTTGCTTACACGCTCGTTCCATAAAACACATGCCAAACTACGTAAATATCGACAGTCGAAGACTTCTACACGATGAAAATATGCCAAGCGCAAATTAAGAGTCACCCAACCGTAAAGCGGAGCTCACCGCACACTGGCGAAGTATTCGCGATCTTTCAGTTTCAAGAAAACAGCACGTCGGTCCTACTGGTGTTTCAATACGGCGCACGCCACTGGTCTGAAAAAGGTCGCTTATCACCCTGACTACGCCACCGTCATTTGTCACGCAATTACCCAAGTAGGAGAAACATTCCACTATAGCTAATCCTTGATCATCAAGCATCAGCGCCGAGTTATACGACACCCAGTTTTTCAGCATCACTTTGCACTTTGAAGGTGCAAAGCGCATACCCAATGAAGTCACAGAACTTAAAAGTCTG